TCTTACGACAATACCTTTCAACATCATGCTCTCACGACAATATTGCTCAAGGACATGCTCTAGCAATACTCAGATTAGCACTCAATGCCAACAGAAAAGACATGCCAAATTCTCAAACAAAAGCAACATGCCAAGCAAAACTTATACATAAGCTTTCCAACCATTCTAGCTAGAACATCCCACCTTTGAAAAATCACTAGAAATCAAGCTTACAACCAACAAGTCCCAAACTTTCCAGATTAGAACTAGACATATCAAGCTTCATTTTCCCAAAATTTCGTTACATTTCGAGCTAGGGAAGCATGTCAAACAGATTCTTAAAACAGCCCATGCCGCAAGAATTGCACAGTTCCAGCCAGCTTAGCCCTTACTTTGAAATTCCACTAGAAATTCATTTTTTCTTCAAGTGACGCAAGACCAATTCCAAAATAGCCATTGAGAAGTCCATTTTTTATGTCTCAAAAGCTCCAACTCAGATTCAAAAAGAAACATTGCAAAAGTTCAAAAAACAGCCAGCAAACTACTTTAAGATATTTCGACAAACACTTGGCATGCATACCCAAGTGAGCTTGTATGACTCTTGTTTATCACTAAGCTAGAATCCTAAATCAAAAGCTCAACCTCAGAATTCGATTTATAGTTCACAAATGCTGGGAAATACAGAGGAACTCAAGCATTCAAGCATAGAAACACAAGCATGCACCAAAGGCATCAACATCAACTCATGAACATGCTTCAGAAAAATGGAGGCAGAGAGCACTAGAATGGGTGGATGATCCTCAATTTTGGATATGTTATAAAAAAATATAATTTCGAGCAAATTTTGTGAAGGAAGCGCAATCATCCAAGCATCATAAGTTAAAGACATATGCAGAAGCAGAATTTGCAGAAACTCACCAGCCATGGATGAATGCAGAAGTTGCAGACCAGTTTTGAGGTATCAGAAAAATTCAAACAATTCTGCAAATTTTACAGGCTATAGTACTCGAGCAGATGAACAACTTTTATCAAGGAAGTTTTCTGATCCGAGCTTCCGAAATATGACTTACGTACTGATGCACAATACCCACGGGTTTGGGTCTTGGAGAAGAAGAAGAAGAAGAAGAAATAAGAGTGAGGGAAAATCAGAAAATAAAGCACGCCATGCCAAGTGAAAGGGAAAAATAGTAGCCACTTGCAAATAAAAAATTCAAGAGGAAGGGGCAACACAATTTTGCCCACGTGAGGGCCAAGCCAAGTCGTGTTCTTCCAGCACCTGCCTTATTTCAAACATCATTCCAGCACATGCCATATTTCAAGTATTCTTCCAATATCTAGCCATCATGTCGCACGCTATCACCTTAACTGAAGTTTTGTCCGCTAAAATTCAAGGTGTTCGGAGGCCGGTGCCGTAAACCCAAACACAATGGTGAATCCAAACTCATTGCATCTGCAACTCCAAGATTGGATCCCCACCGTCCACTAGCACGTCTGGCTACTGTCAAATGAA